TAGCAATGTAAAGCACTGGAGCAATGTGAAGTTTCCTGTTTACAGAAGTAGGCCTTCAAAACATGTAGAAAACATATTGTGCAGAAAGTCTGCCCTTGTCAACAGTCATGAATCCAAGGGTCTTTAAATCAGGAGCACTTCCTCAATTAAGAGCAATGTATTGAACTTGAACATGGGCTTTTATTATCTAGAACAGGGATATCTACACTAATATCTACAATTACTCTTTCACGTATTAGAGTGACTTTTACAGAGTTACAAATAGAAGAACCATAAAACATAGGCTATGTTGTCTGAAAAACAGCTTTCCATCAAAAAAAAATTGCATTATAGTCACTATAAGCATTATAAAACATAAAATTATAGTATATTATTGAAATTTACATTGTTTTAGCACATTGACCTGGTCTTCCAATCAAATGTAATGAACAAACACACAGTTCAAAAGAATTGTCCTTTTAATTCTCCTGTTAATTAGATTGTTAATTAACAATTTTTAATGAATTCTCCTGCTAATTGTGGGCTTCTCAGAACAGTGGTACAGTTTATTTGAGATTGCCCAGCTCTACTCTCCTTGAGTTCAGATCCAGAAAGCGACAGAAATAAGCCACAAGTAAAATAATTTTTTTTCAGAGATTGGCCCTGTGCCTCTCAAGGAAGACACAGACCAAGGGATAGCACACTAGGGAAGAATTCAGGCCTACCTCCCTACCTAGTTTGGTGCTGGAGTTGCATCCACCAGCCCATAATAATTCCTCAGAGAATGAGAAGCTCATCTGCTGTAAACCACGAGGGCTGGCTGATCTAGAATCACAAAGAAACGTTCTTTGACTGAGGATCTTGATGGATCTGAGGCATTTATCTAAAATTTTTCAACAGAGAAAAGCATGTGTGCCTCCACATGTGTTAATATACAGCCATTTTTAAAATAATAGCCTCTCAAAACAAGCAAAGTAAACCAATACTGAAATTGTCAGAAGTTGTTATTATACTATCTAATCTGTCTTTAATTTGTTTTCTGTTATAATTTATCTCTAACTTAGTTAACCAACACAGGTAAGCTACACAGTATTGTTATGGTTTGGTAAATGCAGGTGGCTTTATATTAGGAATATTGGTCATGTATCTTTTTCAGAGGTCAAGGACTGGCGCTTCCCAAAAGCTGCCATTACAACAAAAGGTAGCTGCCGCTTTCCACAGGTTCAATCATGTACCTGAATTTCAGATGACATCTTAGGTTTTAGCTTTTGTATTTTTCAGATTCTGTGCTGCTTTAGTGTGTAGTTCTGAGCTTCATACTAAGGGATGGTAAGCTCTCTTCACAGAGTAGCTAGACAAAACAATTGCCACCCTAGCTTGGGACCAAGGACAAACGATCCAAATCTCAGCCCTAAGAGCATAAACAATGGTGGAATGAAGAGAGAACAACAAGAAGGATGGGACTTCATAACCTAAAGCTAAAATTGGACAATTAACTCCAATATGCAAATAGACCAGAACGTTTAAAAGTGAGAGACCTTGTGACCAGTTGTCCATTTTTGTGACCATTTTGGGTTCATTTTGGGTGTAGCCCTGGCTGGGCTCTTGTACTGTCCAAGGTGTATCCATTGAGGCTTTTTAATAAATACCTACTTTATTCTTTGACTCTGTCTAGTCTCTGTCCTAGGTCAGCCTTGATATGGTATCACAGAAAGGCCTATGATGGAAGGAAGAAGTGACGGAAATTTGATTATTTTGCTTTCACTATTCTGATATATCTAGTAATCAGGCAATTTATCAATCCTCCTTGACAAGACCTAACTATGTACTTAAAATTTGAAAGTATATATTACATAACAAACCACTATGGTTTATTGGGCCATTTATCATTTGCCTGGGAGACTATTAGGACTAGACCATTAATCCTGCTAGGGAGCTGATGCAATTTGTGAGCTGTGCATGGGCACAAAACTGCAATTCTCCTATTTAAACAGTGTGCAGGGAATCTCCTATTGCTCAAGCTCCTGCCCTGAGATGCAGAATCTGGGCAAGGGCCATCCAGGCTGTGCTTCGCCGCTGAGGATTTGTTCCCACTGGACAGTGATGAAATGCAGAGCAGTGCACCCTGTCATTTGCAAATCTCAGAGACTTATACTCACAAGGGACACAAATACAAGTTTCTAGACATAAAGGGACATAATTCTGGTAGCTTGCACAGAGAACTGAACTTTCCTCTAAACAGTAGCAACTAAAAGGCAGTAAAAGAATGACTGATAGAAGTGTTGTCTTTTTACAGCCACAAGGCTGATAACAGTGCTTAAAATAGTTCGCAAGATGTGAACTTCAGTCAGTAAGGGAAAATATTCAAGAAGATATTACAAAATAAATTATTTTGTTGGTTTACAGATTTACTGTCACAGGAAACAAATAGTTTCACTAAATCAGAGGCAGATTTATACTTAGAATTGTATCACAGAGTGGTTTGGATTGGAAGGAACCTTAAAGATATCTACTTCCAACACCTGGGGCAAGGGCAGGGACACCTTCCACAAGACCAGGGTGCTCAGAGCCCCCCATCAACCTGGCCTTCAACATTTCCAGGGATGGGACAACCACAGCTTCTCTGGCCAACCTGTTTAAGTACTTCACCACGCTAATAGCAAAGAATTTCTTCCTAATATCTAATCTAAACCTACTCTCTTTCAGTTTAAAGGCCTTGCCCCTTGCCCTATCTTTTCTTGCCTTTATAAAAAGCCCCTCTCCAGCTTTCATGTAGACTCCCTCTAAGTACCTGAAGGCTCCTACAAAGTCTCTGTAGAGCCATTTCTCCTCCAGGCTGAACAAGCCCCTCTCAGCCTTTCCTCTTAGGAGAACTGGCCTATCTTTCTCATCATCTTCATGGCCCTCCTCCAGACATCCATTTTTTATTTATGTTGGGGTCCTCAGGCCTGAACACAGTACTTAGTTCTCATAAGAGTGGAGTAGAGGGGCAGAACCACCTTTGTCAACCTGCTGGTCCCACTTCTTTTGATGCAGCCCAGAATAGAGTTAGAAGGTACTATGCATAAATACTATAACCTTTCTTTGTAGCAGATATATCAGACAGACATTTTAATGAGGACTATGATGACTAAGCAAGACAGCTTCTCACAGAAAATCTTTGGAGCACACAGGTCTTAACAAAAGGATGTTTGTGAGATGAAGGCATTTTGAATATTTCCATAATCCATACTGAGAGAGGGGATACAGAGGAATGTCATGCCAGAGCTTCTCAGGCCATGAGTCCCATTTCAGTGCTTCCTTTTGGGGCCAGCCCAATGCTGGTATGCCTCCCACTGCAGCACCCAAAGGCAGGCGAAGCAGTTCCTGGGCTAGGGCTTGGAGAGCTGCTAAATGACAAAATGCACATCATCTGCACAAGCAGCCTCACAAAAAAGCTAGAATAGGGCCAGAGATAAGTAGGGTAAATGAACACCATTAGACCCAGTTAGAGCATATGATCCCTAGTTACCACTTCCAGAACACTTTGATGTCCTTACAGAGAGATTATATGAAGTTCAAAATGACTTGTTAATAAGATTTTCACAAGCATTTGAATAGTGAATGAGTTCCAGAGACCGCTAAGTTACACAGGTAGCTTTGAAAACTTCCCCTCAAGATAATAAATGTATGTCCCACCACTTGCTAAAAAGCCTTTCTTCTGCAGTGGCACTGTATTACTTGCACGCATTTTGTAGCCATGTTTTTGTTCTCTAACTAACTGAAAGCGTAGCCTCAGTGTATCACTGTGTATGTTGTGCAAGAGCACATTTGGAATTTGCATTTTTTAGATTACCAGACAATAAAAAAACCCTGAGATTGCACAGATATGCACCACCCTTCATTAGAGGCAGTGATATTCTCTCCCACCCAGTCCTGCCCAACCAAGACAATATTGCACATACGCCTCCAGACAATGAACATACCACACCTTTTGCCTCTAATTAAAATTATTAAGTTGAGATGGAAAGAAATGTATTTCAGTCTGTGCTTGTTAGCCAAATGTCTTGATAAAACTGAATATGTTCTGCTGCTGCCCACCATCTGTCCTCATAAATACTTTTTGAAAAAGCTGAACAGGAAAACAGATTTGTCATTACTGACTTCCACAATTTTATGCCATACCCTCAGGTTTTTCTTTATGAAGACCAATAGAATCCACAGAATATGATAAATTTTTCTCCTATTAAAACAATTTTGCATTCAACACATTTCAGTAGAAAAGATTCAAACCTAATGCATGTAGAAAGCTATACAGAGAAATGAGGATATCCTTATTGAGAACAGTATTTTGGGACAATCTTACTTCTCCTGTCTCAATTAATTCCTCACATAGTCTCAGTTCTTTCAATGTTAGATATGTTCTCATGAAAGCACTGTGAGTCCTTGTCTTTGACAAAGAGGTTACTTTTCATAGCTCTGCAGCCTTTAAGGCATCAAAACAATGTACATCTTCTCAGCTTTCCCTTATTGCTGAGAATTCACCTGCAAGAAAATAAGCCTTTTCCATCACTGAGGTAAAGAAAACCTCCTAGACAGCCTCTAGTCATGCCATGATTCCCAGTATTTTGCCCCTGATACAATGAAGAAATCCCAGCTGATGTAACACAGCAGCCCAGTCACAGACCAGTATGGGCTGCCGAGAAGGTTGATGCTGTTTCTTATGCAGACTCCCCACTGAATTTGAAGTGTAGTCACCATTCCCAGGCTTCCCAAGCAGTGAGCTGCTTTAACTATTGTGCCATAGGTACCTGTCTTAAAAGTTTCACCACAGGTACAATATTATACTCAACTAGTATTTGTAAGACAGGGGAAATAGACTTTGCCTGAGGCTGGTGCTAATCTCTAGAGAAAAACAGGAATATCTCCTACTGCTGCAGGACCAGCTGTGAGCTCTCTTCCCATAGATTATTGCAATTAGTTCTTTTTCTTCTTTGAACTACTCTTCTATCTTATCATAGAAGCTCTTCTCAACAAACAAGTGGGAATTATTGTTTATTCAAAATGGGTGTGAATGAACAGTACCAGATACAAACATTATTCCATCACAAGATGAGAACTGGCTCACATAGGTGCAGGTATTGAATTCCCTGGGGCTTGAGTTCAGGCAATAATAGAAGAAGCCACTTTTTCTTTGGCAAATTTTGGTGACATAAAAGCTGAGTGTAAAGATTTCTGGAATATCAGGACTTTATAAGAAAATGCTGCTCAGCTAATACTGAATCAGTTGAGGAGTGTTCCCACAGGATTCCAGGTCATGTGAGAGCAGGGCTATTTGGAAAGGAACAGCAGTACCTCTTCTTCCTCCTCAAACCAGTGCAAAGCTCTGCTTGCTGCCAGAAGGGACAAAACAAGAAAGTTTCTAGTGTTAGTTTTTTGAAGCAGAGAAATACAAGAAGGTCACAAGGAATGGTAGCAGAAAGATTTAAAATTATAACAGATATACCTAAAATGCTTCTAGACAAAGCATGCACAGGAAAAGGGCTTTTTTTTTCAGTCTTCTAGGAGTTAAACTCCATTTGCAAATTCTCTCTAGAAATTCCTTAGGAGTAGACTTTCCTCTGCAATTTCTGGTCCCATCCATTTCAGGTTAGACTGGAAATATTGAGAAAGAGGCTTCTGACTCACTAACAACCCAGTCTTTCTCAGGCTATTGACTCCCTCATATTCAAATCCACAAATTTCTCAGAAAGTACAGATACAGGAGTCTGAGGATGTTATCTTGTAAAACAGAATATTAGACTGGTTTCAAAAGTCAGAAACAAAATTTTGCATCATTGCTAAGGCTGTGTCTATGATAACCAAGGTGAGAACAATGAGGAAAAGTGAGGATGAAAATAGGGATTTTGTTGTAACTGGAGCTTGTTTCTGTTTCCTCTTCTTCTGTTGAAGTTTTGGAGGTTTTTGTCCCTCCCATTTTTTTTCAGTTATATTTAAATTACATAGTTAAGTGAATGTTTTAAGCTATCCAAAGCTTTCTGGAGGCACTGGGAAGGAATTATACTGACTTAATCTATGAGATAATGTTACAATTTTGGATATAAGTGCATGTGATATTCCAAATACTACTTCATACACTGCAGTAGTTTCACACTGTGACAATAACAATGCTTGTTATTGCACCATATGGCTGCAATGTTCAAATGTGATGTTCAAAGTTCACAGCTTACCCCCACAAAATTTCAGTAAGTAGACAGAAAACTTTATTTCAAAATTCAGGGATGGGGAGGGGAAGCAAAAACAAAACCCAAAAACCTAATCCTTACCTTATCCAATGACTGAAGTTCTGGAGTACAGAATGAGAGAGAACAGTACTTTGCATGTTGTGAGACGGGAAAAAGTAATAACATGCCTGCTATTACTTTCTTACTGGAAAAAGAAGAAACTAAAAGAGAAAAACTACTATTGAGCCAAATTTTTCACAAGTTGACAAGTTGAAAAAAAGAAAAAAATACCATAAATAGTTTCTTTTGTGTCTTACAAAACAATTTAAAAACATTTTTCATCCATTTCTAATTAGAGCTGTGATTCCAGCTTTCACATGAGCAGTAATGCAACTGTTTCCTTAACTTCTGCCTAATTTCTTTAAACTTTTCCTCCTTATTGCCTCTGAACACTCAGCATTTTACTTTTTTTTTTTTTCAAATGAACATCATTAAACACGTGTGATTCATTAGTAATGATGGCTTAGTTTGGGACAACATTGGTGGTTTCCACTCCCAGCTTTCTGCCCTTGTTTTCTCTTGGTAGTTAGTTATTCCTCTTGCTTCAGGGGTAGCTCAGCAGCACATGAAGCTCCTGCACAACTCAAGTCTGGAGGAAACCAGGATCCATTTCAATTTCCCCTAGTACACCTACCTCTAATTTATAGCAGCTCAGCAACTGCTCCTGAGCAGCCACAGCCCTCTGCAGCAGAGGCACAAGCTGCTGAGAGAAGAGCAGGGCAGATTTCCTGGCTGAATTAAAAGGAACAGGTGAGGTACATTAGCAAATGCCAGGGGCCACATTAAGGAAATTTGAGGAGTAATGCACTCAGTGAAAACAAAACAGAGCTTGGCAACAATCTAAATATTTGGAGGGTGGAGGAGGGAGGAAGAGAAGGTGCTATAGGGCCATTAAGAACTGTTAGATTATCATTCAAATTTGGAAAAAAAATTATTAAGGAGGAGTCCCCATGGAGATACAAAATTAACCCTTGATAATATATTTATAATTTCCCATTGTTTTTATGAAAGTCCAGGTAAAATGAAAGATATTACTGCTTTAACAGGTACCCCAGCCCTTTGTCTCAAGGTATATTGATTTTGAAATGGCAGGGGTCAGTACACAAAGAAAGCATCTGGGCATGTTTCACCACAACTTTTAAACACATATTACTTGAAATTGATTCCCCCAAAAATCATGTCCACAAAAGTTCTCCTTGTCTTGTAACAAAATATAAAACAATGCCAGGGTCCTGTGGCTTTGTGACTTAAAACACTAAGTGAGAGAAGTAAGATTGGTCAGCCGGTCTTCTGGACTTAAAGAATTAAATCCTGTCTTTACATGTAGGTCAAAAAGTATTATACAAATGAAGAAGAAGGGAACATTCCTTGGAGATGTGGCTGATTATTTTCCTAACCTGATGTATCATCAGCAGCCTAGATGTTACCTTTAGAAAGAATGTGGGCCTTACAACATTTTACTTTGTATATCCAATTCCTTTTTAAGAGTCTTTGTTTTCTTAAACTGATATTTTAATTGCATTCAACACTTATTTCCTGAGAAAACGACTGTGTATTGGTACAGGAAGCTGCACTGATGCCTTGAGAAGGCTGACCTAGGACAGAGGCTAGACAGAGTAAAAGAATAAAGTAGATATTTATTAAAAAGCCTCAATGGATACACCTTGGACAGTACAAGAGCCCAGCCAGGGCTACACCCAAAATGGTCACAAAAATGGACAACTGGTCACAAGGTCTCTCACTTTTAAAAGTTCTAGTCTATTTGCATATTGGAGTTAATTGTCCAATTTTAGCTTTAGGTTATGAAGTCCCATCCTTCTTGTTGTTCTCTCTTCATTCCACCTTGTTTATGCTCTTAGGCCTGAGATTTGGATCGTTTGTCCTTGGTCCCAAGCTAGGGTGGCAATTGTTTTGTCTAGCTACTCTGTGAAGAGAGCTTACCATCCCTTAGTATGAAGCTCAGAACTACACACTAAAGCAGCACAGAATCTGAAAAATACAAAAGCTAAAACCTAAGACATCACACAGGTGACAGTTTAATTTAGAAAAGAATAGCAGAATAACTTCTGCAAATACCACATTAGGAATTGATTCTCTAAAACAAAGCAGGCTTTGCTCTTACTGCCAAAAAGGTATTTGCCTGTCCTGTATTTCATTCTGGTATTCTTGAGGTAGTTCTTCTAGGAAGTTCTCAAGGTCAGCAAATGAATGTGTGTAGCCAGTCTTAAGGCATTACTAAGAATATTTGGCACAGGCTTTAGGTTTCTGGGTCACCAGCAGAAATGTAGGTAGTCAGAGACAAGGAGGGGTGACAGTAGGCTCTGTTGTCAGATCTTGTGCTGGAGTAGCTCTGTCTCTACCAGCAGGGCTGGTGTCTCCAGAGAACCATATAGGCCCAAGCAACAGCTCTAAGCACCCCAAAAGCTAATTTAACATTACACACATTCAGCATGGTATATCAGGTATGTGCAGTTGTAATTGTGTATTACGTTAATATGGGATTGGGTTTCTTTAAGGAATTATAAAATTCTGACTTAAGAAGAAAAAAGCACTATTAGAGACTTTTAGACTCTTAGAGACATCTTTTAGTGCTAAATTACCTCACACAGAGACTCTGAAGAAAAGACTGTTGTTGAGTGCTTGTATATATTCTAAGTTAGACCTGGCCTTGTTAGTATAGAGCATCCACTGAATACCACAAGAAGGGAGCCAATGCTGCATGCCATATAATCTGGTTTTTAATCCACTGCTGATAAAGCCTTCAGAAAACTGTTAAAGCAAACACTAGCAAAGTAGCCCATGTAAGAGAGAGAAAGAAAGAAACAGACCAGATATGAAGCACTAAGTGTAGAAGCACTACATGTTATTGATGGATTTGCTGTCATAATGATTGCATTGTCTTGCTTTCACCACCAATTTCTAACTCCCAGCCATGTGTATGTATAACGTATAGGGGTCTTGATCTGGTAATTTTTATATTCCTCATAATCTCTGCTACTTTGTGATTTTCACTTTGTTTTTTATATGATACAAATATATCTTTTTCTTCACAGTATAAGAAACTGGTGATAAAAATCATTTGGGAGTGAGCATTGTCAGACTCACCTGGCAGAGAAACTGGCTTTTAACCTTGCAGCTAAGGGGAGGAAAGGAGTACTCTGGTTGAGTATTCTGCAGCAGGTGAAGCTCTGCTGAGCTGTGGGACAGCTGGAAAACTCCACAGCAGCTGAGATGTGAGATATGCCACCTTCTGTCTGGATCTCCACAGTATCTGGTAGGACAAGATCCACAATTATGTTAGGCTCCCACTCTCAAATTCTTCCTCTCATGAGCAGCTCCACTATCTTTAAGGGAACTATTGCTGCTACTTCCACCAAGTTGTAGTTTCCCATTTAACAGAGGCACATTCCCTGAAATTTTCTTCTGCTTTCCAGCTTATTTTATAGGATAAAGCTTAGGAGATAAGAACAAAAAGCCCAGACAATGAACTTTCCACTATTCATGTCACAGAGATGTCTAATCATTAATTACTTTAAATGGGAGGTTTAATGGAAAAGGACTAAAGCATTTGAGGAAAGGGATTTTTAGCTCAGACATAACAGTGTGTAAATGATAAGCTGAGAGGTTCAAAGGCAGCCAAACCCCCTGCAGATCCCTCCAGCCCAGAAGCAGGAGGCTGAGGAACTCTTACATTGGCTGGTCCCAGGTGGTGCTGTCAGCCCTTGGTAGCTGCCCTTGTATAACACCACTCCTGTGGCAACAAAGAGCAGACATGGGTTTACTGGGATTTGTTAGCTCAGGCTCAGTCAAGACCTTTCTGGACCAGCCTACACCAGCCTGAGGCACTCCTGAAACCACAGTTAATTTACTGAATGACCAGGTAACCCATTCAGAAGCACTGGAGTTGACGGATCACATTTACATTACATTTGATGAGGAATCTCTGCATGGATCACAGACAGACAATGTCCAGCACATCTTTTGTTTCTTTACTTTGTAGGAGAAACTCCTTTTCCGGACTGCAGCCTGTGTGTTCCTTCTGTAATCTTTATAGAGGGAACTGTACACACAGCTGGTGTACAACTGCTACCTACAAAGGACCCATATCTCAGTGTAAACAAAGCACAAAAGAAATGGTTTAGCTTTATAAAATGACAACATAATAAACAGATTCTCTTTTTCTGTACATTCATTCCTGAGTATCTGCTTATATTTGGAAACATTTATGGTGTTGAGAATGATTTTTAATTGTTCCACAGCATCTGCTTCTTTCAATAAAAAATAATAGCTGGCCACACTCCATATGATTCTTTACTCAGGCAATGTTGCAAATTTAAACAGGAATTGGGGAAACTGCAAGGGAACAGAAAGCATAGCTGAAAATTCAATGGCATATGATATAATTAGGGCACAGCAGTGCCAAATGCAGCAAAGACATAGATGATTGCTCCCCCAGACCACCAGCAGGATGGTGTGCTAGCTAGCAAACCAGGGAAGATGAGGCTCCTCTGAATGGCAATGCTTAGCAGGGAGTTATGTCAATGCAAAACCCTGGCATGGAGATACCTAATTCCTGCCATCAGCTACCTAAGGTAGGGCAGTTCCTCAGAGGTGCACAGTGGAAGGACAATGGCAATCATCACAAGTTGCAGCAAAGGAAATTCTGTCTAGATGAGGATAAAAATGTTTACAGCAAGACTAATCCAACACTGGAAGAGATTTCCCAATGAAGTCATGGAGTCTCAAGTCCTGCAGCTATTCAAAGCTCAGTTTCATGTGGCCCTGAGAACTTGCTGTACTTGATAATTGTTTGAGGAAGAGGTTGGATTGGATGACACCCAGAAGTCTCTTCTGACCTACATTGTTCTGTGTTTCTGTGGACCCCTGTCCTGTGTCTGGGATGCTCATGGTTCTCCATGCAGTTAGGAATATTTGTTTATTTGGAACCCATCCCCAAGAAGCCTCTCCCAAATAAAAGTCCTGTAACCATATCTTCAAAAAGGAAAAAGCAAGATCGCCAGTTTCCTTTAAAACTCATGACAGTGGTGATGCCAGTACCCAAGTACTATATGATTTCCTGCTTGCCCAATAAATGGCTACCCTTAGTGACCTGAGG